GTTTCGCGAATTACGCAACAATTGTTGTTCTTAGCTACCTGAGAAAGTCTCCCGTTACATTTTCTCGAAAGCAACATGACGCTTTCTCGTGAACTATTAACCTCTGCACGGCCGAAATCGTCCGTGAATATCATCAGAGACGGCCGAAAAGAGTTAGTCGCTGCCTTAGTCCTCAGAGAGGAAAGAAGTCGTCCTCCCTTCAATTATCATCCATTAAGTGATCCGAATTAATCGCCATAGGATAAACTTTTCTGTGTGTGTGTGTTAGTGCATCGCCTGGATAACGAAAAATACCCATCAGAACTGGATACATCCTGAAAACCCCATAACTGAAGCTCTTATTCTCCGATTCAACAAGACCCGACCGGGACCTATTACCAAAGGTATTTATCAACCCGCGAATCGTATGTGAACTCTCTCTCTCCGCGACAATCCTTTTTCCAATAGATTTTTAAATAAACCCTTGTTAATTGTTAAGTGTATCTGAGTCACTTCCAATGTTGTCTCTCGAATCGACATTACGAATCCGTCTGACCACGTACGGAACCGCTCGCGCGACGGCATGACGTAATCGCCGTCTCGGTTTCCGTGTTTCGAGAAACACGGTGGTGTCAATCCTGACAGGGTACCAAAGAGGTGCCGACCCGAAAGGTCACAAAAGATATTCCTTTCTGTTGTTATCTTATCTGATTCAAATCAATGTCATTAATATAATTTAGCACTAGAAACGTTAAGAACAATTTTGTACTAAATTTTCAAAATTTAATACGAAATGGTGCTTAATACCTTCAAAAGTCTGTTTTTAATGCTGTCTCTCCATTAAGCATGAAGCTTCTATCAGCGTTTGATGCGAAGAATGTCAGAATACTGTCTAAAAATAGAACTGTGAGAACTTCGTTTGACAAGTACAAAGATAAAAAAGAATTTCTGCGAAAAAACGTCAGCATATTACTTTTTAAAATACTATTCGTGGGAAACGTAATTCATCAGGGACATTTTCAGGGTAGGTGTAGCACCCACTTATCAGTTACCGAAGCAATCAGTTGATAAGATTACGTAATTAAAGTAACTCTTAGGTAATTGAGTAACATTCTCCGAAAAACGCCGGGAGCACGTGACTTGGTCCTCCGAAACTGCCTTGAGCGACAACTATATTCTCAAAATCCGGGATACGCCACTATAATCCTATAATTCATTCCTGATTAACATAATTGATTTTGGAAAATAAGGATAGGGAATTTTTGTTCGTTATTCGTAAAGCGAAGTGTTTGCTTATTCGAGATAAAAACACATCAAGAGCCTAGACCACATTTTTTGACTTTTACAGGTGTATGTTAAACCTAGTGTTCCTAAATTCAGGTTTACTGGTTTTTCAATTTTCCAATTTAATTTGTTATTTTTTCATGTTTATACAAGTATGTTTATATTTTTCAAATTTATAATTCATAAAAATATAATTGAAAAATATATTATTAATATTATATAAGATATTTTATTTTGTAAAAAATGAAATTATTTTCATTTTATAGTTACAGATATCTTCTGTCATCCGGTGTGGGACGGAGTTTTATGTTGGCCTGCAACAATACAAAACTCTACTGTTTATCTGCCTTGTCCTTCGGAAATAGGATTGGATATAACGAGTAAGTTGAGATATTTATATTTATAACGAATTTAAAATCATGAATAATACATTATAAATATAATTTAACAGAGTTTGCCAGTCGAAGATGTGGAATAGATGGATATTGGGAAGGAAGTCCTTCTGTCTTAGGAAAACAAAATAATAATAATGGATGGAGTAATTACATGGATTGCTTTACTAAAGAGATGAAAGGAGTTCTAAATAAACTTTATAATAAATCTATTGACGAAGCAGAGGTAAAAATTAGAATATATATACAAAACAGTAATATACAGATATTCATCGTACAATACGGAAGCCTACTTCAGAATACGCTTTGAAATTTGGGGAAATTCCCCGTACAACACGACTTCTAGTTTCGCTCTAACACGGTTTTAGAAATCCTCCGTACAAAATTTCACAATTTTTTAGCGTAAACTTCGTTATTCAATATTTTTTTTTTTAATTTAAGTAAGCACGCGTGTTGTCTCAAATTTGTCCATGGATTTTAGAATATTGAAATTTTCAAATTATTTTGTGCTTTTTGTCAGGTTTACTTTAATGAAAACCGATAGGACAAGGAAGAAAAAATTGTACTAACTTTCCTACCAACTAGGTGTCGTTGTCGTTGCTTTCTAGTTTTGGTTAAGTTACGGCAGCTCAAAACTTGGGCGATCTGCCTAGGGAGATGCCTTCCAGGAGGTCATTTTAAGGGTAACTGGTTCCTATTCAGGCGTTTTCAGACGTGGAAAAAACCCGGAAAACTGAACGTGGCCTGCCTGTCCTGGTAAGGCGTGAACCCACGATCGAACTCCCAGTGTTCAAGGAATAGAACTGCTTTTTAGGGCGACCGATAGTGAACTTTAAAATATAAAATTCAAAAAAAATAATTTTATATTTTTTTAATATAGTAATCGGCAATTAAACAAATTGATGTTTACATGACGACTGATAATATAAAGTTAGTATAGCTGTGCAGTTTATGGATATAAATAACGCCAAAGCATTTTAAGTGTTTTGCATCAGAAAACTTAAAAGCAACAGGTGATGGGGGATTTATCCGTTGTACCAGAGAAAAAGTCATCAATGGAAATTCTATAACTGTTGTTTCTTATTTTAAATCACGTAAAAATCACTAAGAACTTTTAAAGTTTGCAAACTCCAAGCTTTATGTTAACGTCTTATGATTAAGTTTAAGATTATACTTACTCGTTGTGAATGGTTGTATTTAATAACATAGATATAAGGTTTTATGTTTATACTTAATTTTTATTGTGAATTAGCCTTTATTCAGTACCGTTAGTCTTAAAACGATACTTACACCATTGTTTTAATCGTTGACAGAACCAAAAGGAAATTTAAATAAACAAAGAGATGCGCACGAACGTTATTAATTTAAATATTTACATTTAAATTAATTTTTTACACACCTATATATTGTATTTATATACTAAATAAGAAAAATTTATTTAAATTAATTCCTTTTTAATTTGCAAATTCTATTTTATGGCAACGCTAAAATATAATATAAATTTGAACAAAGACTATTATCTACAGGGCGCTTGATTTGAATAAAATGAAAATAAATACATATCAAATACTTTGATAGATTTTTTTATCCCTGTCAACTATATGAAACTATCCTTAATTTACCTAACCTTATTTGTTGAGCTTAATTTATGTCATTGTAAACTATTTACTTTTATAATAAGCAATCGGTTAAAGTTCATTATTTTCTCCAATTATCGCATTGTTTATAAAATACAAAACAGTATTCAGTACAGCAGCCTATTTTAGAGTTTAAAGTGTAGCTTTTTATCAAAAACAAAAGTTTAAAAACAATTTTTATATCATTTATCATTTTAATAACAAAGTTTTAAAGTAAAATAGTATAAAAATAGTGAAAAAAGGAATGAAAAGACAGGAGTGTCGGAGGAGTTTGATAAATGGATGAGCGTAATCCCTCTTGTCTGCTGCCCATCCCTTCTGAGAAATAAGCCTGAAGATATGCATGTATTTAATAGAGATGATTAGTTATTAAAATTAAATAAAGATAAAATACTGATATCAATTAAATAATTAAAAATAATTTATTATTATAATTTATTTATTCAATTACTTAATAATATTTAATAAATAAATAAATAAATATAATAATTTTTAATAATAATGTGTTCTTTAATTATCTTAATTAGCATTCATTTTACAGTATTTGTTTATAAGAAATGTTCTCATATTAGTCATTGATCCCCAGAGTCAATTGAATTCGTTAAAAATTATTAGTTTAATGGGTTATATGTTATTTATATTTAAATTCAGGATGTAAATAGGTTTTTTCTACGAAAACGATGTGTGGATTAATAGGCCTACAGAATCACTGATCTTTTATTATTATTAAGGTATTGTTAGAGACAGAGTGTATCCTGTACTGTATGCACTACATACTGGTGCCTAGTGCTATGCCAGACCAAAATCCCTTGTCCTTCGGAAATAGGATTGGATATAACGAGTAAGTTGAGATATTTATATTTATAACGAATTTAAAATCATGAATAATACATTATAAATATAATTTAACAGAGTTTGCCAGTCGAAGATGTGGAATAGATGGATATTGGGAAGGAAGTCCTTCTGTCTTAGGAAAACAAAATAATAATAATGGATGGAGTAATTACATGGATTGCTTTACTAAAGAGATGAAAGGAGTTCTAAATAAACTTTATAATAAATCTATTGACGAAGCAGAGGTAAAAATTAGAATATATATACAAAACAGTAATATACAGATATTCATCGTACAATACGGAAGCCTACTTCAGAATACGCTTTGAAATTTGGGGAAATTCCCCGTACAACACGACTTCTAGTTTCGCTCTAACACGGTTTTAGAAATCCTCCGTACAAAATTTCACAATTTTTTAGCGTAAACTTCGTTATTCAATATTTTTTTTTTTTTTTTAATTTAAGTATGCACGCGTGTTGTCTCAAATGTGTCCATGGATTTTAGAATATTGAAATTTTCAAATTATTTTGTGCTTTTTGTCAGGTTTACTTTAATGAAAACCGATAGGACAAGGAAGAAAAAATTGTACTAACTTTCCTACCAACTAGGTGTCGTTGTCGTTGCTTTCTAGTTTTGGTTAAGTTACGGCAGCTCAAAACTTGGGCGATCTGCCTAGGGAGATGCCTTCCAGGAGGTCATTTTAAGGGTAACTGGTTCCTATTCAGGCGTTTTCAGACGTGGAAAAAACCCGGAAAACTGAACGTGGCCTGCCTGTCCTGGTAAGGCGTGAACCCACGATCGAACTCCCAGTGTTCAAGGAATAGAACTGCTTTTTAGGGCGACCGATAGTGAACTTTAAAATATAAAATTCAAAAAAAATAATTTTATATTTTTTTAATATAGTAATCGGCAATTAAACAAATTGATGTTTACATGACGACTGATAATATAAAGTTAGTATAGCTGTGCAGTTTATGGATATAAATAACGCCAAAGCATTTTAAGTGTTTTGCATCAGAAAACTTAAAAGCAACAGGTGATGGGGGATTTATCCGTTGTACCAGAGAAAAAGTCATCAATGGAAATTCTATAACTGTTGTTTCTTATTTTAAATCACGTAAAAATCACTAAGAACTTTTAAAGTTTGCAAACTCCAAGCTTTATGTTAACGTCTTATGATTAAGTTTAAGATTATACTTACTCGTTGTGAATGGTTGTATTTAATAACATAGATATAAGGTTTTATGTTTATACTTAATTTTTATTGTGAATTAGCCTTTATTCAGTACCGTTAGTCTTAAAACGATACTTACACCATTGTTTTAATCGTTGACAGAACCAAAAGGAAATTTAAATAAACAAAGAGATGCGCACGAACGTTATTAATTTAAATATTTACATTTAAATTAATTTTTTACACACCTATATATTGTATTTATATACTAAATAAGAAAAATTTATTTAAATTAATTCCTTTTTAATTTGCAAATTCTATTTTATGGCAACGCTAAAATATAATATAAATTTGAACAAAGACTATTATCTACAGGGCGCTTGATTTGAATAAAATGAAAATAAATACATATCAAATACTTTGATAGATTTTTTTATCCCTGTCAACTATATGAAACTATCCTTAATTTACCTAACCTTATTTGTTGAGCTTAATTTATGTCATTGTAAACTATTTACTTTTATAATAAGCAATCGGTTAAAGTTCATTATTTTCTCCAATTATCGCATTGTTTATAAAATACAAAACAGTATTCAGTACAGCAGCCTATTTTAGAGTTTAAAGTGTAGCTTTTTATCAAAAACAAAAGTTTAAAAACAATTTTTATATCATTTATCATTTTAATAACAAAGTTTTAAAGTAAAATAGTATAAAAATAGTGAAAAAAGGAATGAAAAGACAGGAGTGTCGGAGGAGTTTGATAAATGGATGAGCGTAATCCCTCTTGTCTGCTGCCCATCCCTTCTGAGAAATAAGCCTGAAGATATGCATGTATTTAATAGAGATGATTAGTTATTAAAATTAAATAAAGATAAAATACTGATATCAATTAAATAATTAAAAATAATTTATTATTATAATTTATTTATTCAATTACTTAATAATATTTAATAAATAAATAAATAAATATAATAATTTTTAATAATAATGTGTTCTTTAATTATCTTAATTAGCATTCATTTTACAGTATTTGTTTATAAGAAATGTTCTCATATTAGTCATTGATCCCCAGAGTCAATTGAATTCGTTAAAAATTATTAGTTTAATGGGTTATATGTTATTTATATTTAAATTCAGGATGTAAATAGGTTTTTTCTACGAAAACGATGTGTGGATTAATAGGCCTACAGAATCACTGATCTTTTATTATTATTAAGGTATTGTTAGAGACAGAGTATATCCTGTACTGTATGCACTACATACTGGTGCCTAGTGCTATGCCAGACCAAAATCAAGGCATACCTACAAGCAAAAAAAAAAATGTTCATACACGTGCTGTTCGTGTATATATCTGTATTTACGGATTTACTGACTATTGACATATGTTTAGTACTAGCAGGTAAGCCCAGCGTTGCCCGGGAAAAAGATAAGTACAAACATTAAGATTATTAGATTATTTCGTACTTCTAACCCTTCTATTCTATTATATTATATTATTTAATTTATATAACTACGAGTATTATCTTACGTAAGGGTTTATAACACCAAGTGACCAATCTAACACATTTAAAAAATTTTTTAAATTGTATATAGCAGAGGAATAAAGAATTTTTTTAATGTGTTATATTAGTTACTCGGTGTGATAAACCCTTGCGTAACTTAACCCTTGCATACGATAAACTTCGTAGTTATTTATAAAAAATACTATAATATAACAAACATTAAAACGAAAACCATATAAAGAGTTTAGTTATTTCAGTCTACCATTGTCATGTTTATCGCGATACGCGGATGGTACGAATTATGGCACAATTTCATTGGACTTAATAGATACTAATTAAAAATATGATATCTTAAATTTTTAAGATATCGTATTTTTTCTTATGTTAACGCTAAAAAACTTTCATTCACAGCCGAATATCAAATGGTGATCGGCCAACGAATCAAATTTCGCGAAATTGACCAAATATTTAAACTCGTCACTCTCGAAAACCACTTAAATCTTATTTCGTGCAGGCTGGTAACCTCGTATTATATAATTTTCCTATTCGAATGCCACCATATCGTTGGGTCCGATAGGAAGAAGGGACTATTGCAGATGGAGGTTGAAGTTAATTAGACCAAAAGTAGTAGTAGTCCTCCTCCCAGAAGAGAGGATGGTCAACGACCACTAATTAATACTGGTCTACTATTAATATTTGAAAAGTAATCTGGGTTGGATAAGTTGTGATGGCCCCGCATGTGGTCGAAATTGCTACTCTTAACATCCGAAAGACTTTCATATAAGACTTGTTTAAATTTTAAAAAATCTCGTAAAAATGCAAGAATAATCGTTTTTATGTAATTCCACTGAAAAAAAAAAAACTGGTGAAACCAGGTTGAAAAAGTAAAGCTAAGCAGAAACATCTAAATAAAGGAAACTTTTGAAAGTTGTGGCAGAAGAATAGTGGGAGCATATTTGACAGTAAGACTCAACATGTGTTTAAAGAGCAAATTACACAGATTACAACTACAGGAAATTTAGAATGATACAATGTCGTCATGATAATAAATAGGAAAAATAAACATCGTCGCAGAAAAAGACTTCGAGCTTTATGTCTTAAAATCTTTGAACGCACTGTACATTAATTTGGCTGAACGTTGGAACATCTTCAAACAGTACCAGTGAAGGAAACATGGGGCAATGGGTTTATGAGTTAATAAGGGAAGTTGAAATCAAGGGAGGGGCGGGATGTCCAGGTTTCCTAGTAGTTAAGTATGTCCTCGTAAATATCGCTTTTATAGAAAAATTATTAGAATTGGTTTGGTTTATTTGGTTATGGCAACGCTATAAGTGAACGAGGATTTGCCAAGGAGTATGCATCCCGGAAAGACTTTTATTTAAAGCTGGCCCCAATTTAAATGTTACTAGCGCAATGAAAACCCAGAAAATTTCACGTGGCCAGTCCGTTGGCCACACACGAACCCACGATCGACTACCGGTGTTCGGTGATTTTATCCACTCGGTTACTGGAGGGTAACCGAGTGGATAAAATCTGCAATTTGAAAAAATTGGACTGCAATTTGAAAAAATTGTAGACCTATCAATTTCCACTGTCGTCCGTCCGTCCGTCTCTGTCCTTCCTTAATCTCGAGAACGGAGTTAGATAGATGAAAATCGAGACGAGACATGAAATCGTAGGAGAAAGAGGACCAGATTAACTATATACGAACGTCCGATGCAAACCGAGTCACATTATTTCAATTCAAAAGTTTTTCCCTGAAATGTGTTAGGTAGATGCCGGCACGACTCTATCGTTATAGGAAAGTATTATGAAAGTACAGAGAAAAGCCACTACAGTACTAATTTGAGGTGGAGAGCAATTATTTTAAAGTAAATTAAAAATATGATTAAAAATATCAGCCCGCATTTGAGTTTAATTTCGTTTCATTGACATTTTACTTATTTTTCTTCATTCTTCAAATGATTTTTATCAGTAAAACAATTTGTGGAGAATGCACATTAAACTTCCCATATTTACTGTTTGTTTTTCTCTTTGAAAGACAAATATAATTTGTTGTATTTGTATTTAAAAAATAAAATATAAACAGATAACTATTAACTTTTACATTATTAATTATGCTGTAAATTCGTGTGGGACAACGGATACTCAACGTTTAGTTTTACTTTCCCCGCTCTTACGTATACATAACAAGGGAAAGTATTGGAATCGTGTCAACTTTGACCTTCCGATTTTTTTTGTAACTCTATACGTTTTGAGACCTCTTGAACCCAAAAACGTCAAAAAAAACTGCAAATAAATTTCGTGTGTGTGTTAGCGTCTATTTCGATTAATATCTGAGGATGAGATAAAGATTAAGAAACGAAATGTGGCATGGTGACTTGCATATGAGGATCATTAATGCTATTAAATTTTGGTGTTTAAAGGTCGAGAGGGTGAGGTGATAAAGGGATGTCATGTGTCATATCTTGCGAGGAATAAGACATGTTCAGTACATTTAATGTACATTTTATTTGTTATTAACATTTACACTATTTTTATGAAACTCATCCCTATCTTCAAAATTAAACCTTTTGCCATTTTATAATAATTCAAAATATAAAACGTTTTTTATAACAAAATCTCATAACAGCTGGCGCCACAAACAATTTTATTTATTTTGTTTAATAAGACTTATTTTTTAAAATTAAAACTGATAACAGCCGGGAAAGTTAAACAACTTTCGTTGCTGGGTGTTTTTTTAATTTATTATAATTTACTATTATTTTTTTAACTCTCCAGAAACCAAGACATTCCATTAGATTACGATTAGAATTTTTCTTTTCTTGGTTGAACTGTAACTTATGAAGAATTGAAGAATTTTTTGATATTCCTTTTCTGTTCGACAGCAAAATTCTCCTACTTAAAGCTATATTTGAAAATTTATATTAAAATGATTTTAAATTATTTAATCATTACATTAAATCCCAAGAAAAGTGTTTAACCATTAATTAACTCTTATTAATTTATGAATAATAATATTTTAAATTAAAGCTGTTATTTTTTTCTAATTTATTTGAATAAAATCACAAAAACTTCAAATTAATTTAATTGTTATACAGTATGATTAACATGTATAAGGTAATCTTTCTATAACGTTTATTTTTACATTTTTTACAATACTGTATGTTCGAGCGATTAAGGAGTAAACCTGTCTTTCTGGTGCTCACCAATGACCGAGTGGATTAAACCACCGAACACATGTCAACAACTGGCTGCTTACGTAGAATTTTCTGGGTTTTATTTGCGTGTGTAACTCCTAAATAGGGCCTATTTTCCCATCCCGGGAGACATCTTCCCTTACAGATCGTCCATTTGTTGTGTTGCCTTATTCAACCAATCCTACTAGAAGCCTATCGTTCTGGAGGACCGGGAATCGAAATCTGATGAGCAACTTTTTCAGTAATTTTTTATAGGAGGGCTAATCTTGGATATGTCATATCCCGTCCGCCCGGTTGGCCCCAATATGGGCCTAGCCGAACTCGTGATGATAAAAAAAGGCTCTCTTGGTGTCTTCCAAGCCATTTTTAAGAATAGTTTTTTTTTTTTTAATTTGTTAATTTATTTAAATACAATTTTGAAAAATTACACTCTAATATTCCAAAAACATGACGAAAACAAAGTCACAATTTTACTAATTCTTAGTGTGGAAGTTATTGCACATATATATTTAAATATTTTTCTTATTTAATGTTTTATATACGTTTCCGATAGGTTTAGTAATGAGTTATTTAAAAGAAATTCGGTTAAATATAGAGTAACTCTTGTTACTTCATGAAGAATGTATAGAGTAGAGAAATACACCTATAGAATAGCACTTGAAGCTATAATATTATTAAGTATATATTGGTAATGTAAGAATTGTAAGAATGTAATAAATCAGTCATTAAATTTCATTAAACTGTAAGTTTATAATTGAATACAGATAATTATGTATTTGAATAAAGACGTTGCTTATCTCATGATGTTGAAATGAGTTTAATTACAAAGATTCTTAATGAAAGAAGTAACACAAACACGCTGAACAAGATTTAAATCAAAATTTTAATTCGAATGAAGGTAATATTTAATGATCCGACAAATATTTTAAAAAGATACAATACAAAATAGCATTTAATTTTAAAATAATTAATTAAAACCATTAAACACTGCCTCACCAACGGGCTAGCCGCGTGGAGTTTTCTTGATTTCTTTACGTATCTAACACATATTAGAGATCAGTTTTCCATTAAAAGTACTCTAGGAAGGCATCTTGCTTGGCAGATCGTCTATGTGTTGCTTTGCATTTAAGCATCAAACAAACTAGCGAAAATAGTCTTTTATAATTATTTATTTAATTTTATCGGTGAAATTATAATTTGAGTTTTCAAATAGATAATTTTCCTTTCAGGTTAAAGTTCAAATAGCGAAAGCAACAAGAGTTGTAGAAATGATTGGTCTCAGCGTTTCTTTACTAGCTTTAATTTCTTCTCTAGCTATATTTTTTTGGTTTAGGTAAGAAATTTTTAAAATTTATCATATTATATTAAATAAACAATTATTATACAGATCTAATTGGGCTGCAACTTTAAAATTACGAACCTATAAATTCTCACTGGTTGTTGTCTATCCTTCCTTAATCTCGAGAACGGAGTTAGGTAAATGAAAATTGAGACCGGATATGGAAAGCTCGGGGGCGGGAGATCCCGGTTAACTATATACCAAACTTCCGGTTTGTACCGAAAGTCACGTTATTTCAATTCAAAAAGTTTCTCCAGAATGGAGTTAGACAACCGGCATTGTTAACAGGAAAAATATGATGTACAGGGGCAAGCCAGTACTAATTTGAGGTGGAGAGCATATATTTTAAATTAAATAAATTAAAAATGTGATTGAAAATTGCAGCCAGTCACAACAAATAATTTTGATTTTTTAAATATTACGATTAATTCACTCAATAGATTTGTATTATTATTTTAATTATGTGTCGGTTATTTCTAAGAATGTTTATATTAAAACATTCCATTTACAGTTGCCTGAGAAATCGTAGAAATCATCTGCATAAAAATCTTTTTTCTGTAATGTTGGCTCAAGTGGCCATTAGGCTAACCCTGTACACAGATCAAATGATAGTCCGAGTGGCCGTAGATAATCCTGTCGTTAGTCGAAGTTATGTTATCAGTATCGAAAAATCGGTAAGTATTTGTAAAATAAATTTTTAGAAATCGTTATTAAATAAATTATCTAACCTGTGAATTATTTTAAATTAAATTTCAGTCATATTAACTGATCAAAACAATTTTAAATTCATTCAAAATCCATCTCACTGTTCCTCCATCAACCCATCCATCCTAATCCATCCACCCATCTCACTCATCCATCCTAACAATATTTACACAGATAGACTCAGATGGGTTGAGCCTCAAAACCCAATAAACATAACCAAATGTAGAATTTCATTATGATGTGTGTGAATGATGTATAGGTGAGGATTGGTGGAATGGAGGCACCCCACCAATCCTCATCCCCAATTTCCAAAAACATGACTAATATAAACGTATTTTAAAAAATTATTTACAACTTTAACACTGATTAAACCGTTTAGAGCAGAGGTGTCCAACCCGCGGCCCAAGGCAAGTTCCAATGCGGCCCAATAAACGTGTAAACAAAACCGAAAAATGTTTTAATTTTTTATTATTTATTTATTTCAAGGTTATAAATTCAAAAAAAGAAGTTTCACAAAACCGTAAACCTTTATTCATATTTTATTTTCGAGTGAAAAGGAAATATTTTCAAATACTTGGAGATGTGTGAATGAGAAAGAATTACTATTGATAAATAAAACTGCAGTTGTGGCTCAAAGGATTAGAGACCCAAATTTGGGGAAAGGGGGAAAGGCGAGAAAGGCCAAAGATAAAAAGTAATGAGTAAGGTTAAATAGATCTTCTGTTATGCAAATATTGATGTTACTGTGAATAACCGATATTTGGCGAATGTCAACATTCTCCGACTGTGTGAATGTCAGCATTCACACAGTCGTTTCGTGTATGTACGAAATATTTGCCAAATATCATTATTTCTCACTTACACCGGCAAATGTCGACATTCAGCATACACCGATTGTGAATGTTGAATAAAAATATTTTTATTACGTTAAGACAAAAATGAAACATTTTAGTATGTCAAAATAGGAGAAAGCTTAAGTAACAGCACATTTAAATAAACTGTTGAACCTAAAACGAACAGAACATTCTTAATCATTAAAGAAAATAATACAATAATAAACTTACACATGAATTATGTTTGATTATCGTTATACAATCTTATTTATTGCAACAATTTAAACTGTTATGGCAGTTTGAATTGCACAAGAGTCCCTTGCTTTTACAACTGCATTTATTCGTGGAACACTTTTTTTTTTTTCAATGACAGAGTGTATAGCCTTGCTCTCCACTTTTCGAATTAGCTGCAGCTGCTTCACTCAGCGATATTTCCTGAGAAGAAATCTCATCTACAGAAAGTAACTTTTCTTTACAAATTACGAACTGATTACGTTATTACGTGATTACGAACTGATCTGTTAAAGGTGTCTTTTATTCGGATATCGCAGACGCCTTACCGACGACCCTTCTCATCCTCCACCACTCGACCTGACAAACCGATCCCCACCTGACGGGATTGAAAGACCTTGTCCTACCTCCGGCCACCCACAAAGGATTTGGTGACAGACTGTCGCCTCTCTGTCGACATCGGCTTCTCGGGTGTCGTTTCGACCTCCACCAAAGCTTATCTGTGCTTGTCGACATACACCGGCGATTGTTCGAATGTATAATAATATAACCAAATATTCGGACTTTCACCGACGTATTTTGTATATTTTATATTTTGTATTATTCGGACATTCACCGGAGAATATCGACATTCTCTAATTTCGGTCTTTCACAGTAACATTGATTCTTAATTTTCCAACCTTTCTCACTTCTTTATCTTTTGTCCTTTCCCTTTTTTCCTCGCATTTGGGTCTATAATCCTTTGAGTCAACTCCAGATTTATTTATTATTCCTTCCAGAGTTGCAAGATTTGGCTACATTGCACCAAATGTGGCTACTTTTTTTAGTTTGATGTAAAAAATATCATTTGGCGTTTTGCCTACTTTTTGGCCTACATATTATTCATAAATATATTAGTTGAATAAAAATGCACTTTAAAATTGTGTTTCGTCGCTCTTTATTAATTAGAGACCCAAATAAAACAAATATTTGTGTTTTTCAAATAAATTTTCGTTTGTCTCTCTATATTTATAATAAATTCATTTATCTATTTCTAAGTAAAAATTGAAAGTGTCTGTAAAAGTAATTTTCTAAAATATTCTTTATCGTGATAAAGTTTTAATACTTATTATTATAGTCTAGACATGTTAGTCCTTAAATATACTTGTATATTGGGCCACAAGTATATATTATATAAACTTGTGGCCCAAAACTCCTTGACTTCTTCCAATGCAGACCAGAGAAACGAAAAGGTTGGACACCCCTGGTTTAGAGACTTTTAAAAGATGTACTTTTCTTAATTATATTTTGTTAAGTTTATATTATTGTGATAAAATTATTTGTCGGCATTTTTACATTAAAAGATTAATATTCGTATGGAAATCCCTATTAATTCAAACTCGGATAGTTCGAAATTCCGTTATTCGTAACTACTATTTGTCCCTTCCGGGGATATATAGATTTACATGTTAAGAAATTCGGTTAGTTCGAAATACGGCTACTTTGACATTAGAAATGTGATATGTGTATTAAGTCGTACGTTTAGATCGAAGTTTACATGCCTCTATACCAGCAGTCGCAAAACGTTGGTCCGAGGACCACAGATGGTTCGAGAGAAAAGTTTGGTGGTCCGTGGAGAAATTTGGACATTGATCAACTCAAGGTTACGCGAAGTATTACGAAAGAAATGAAAAATGCTTGGTTGCTTTTTCTCACTCATTGGGTTTTTTTTTATTCGAGTCTAAAACCAAACCCGGAATGTCTGTTATCAATAATTAATAATGTCAATAAATCAGTAGTAATGTTGTGAATGCGATTGTTGTCCTTCGTGAAAAAGAGCCAAGAATCCATAAACTTATTTCAAACAAGCAGCAACAAACTTCACACTAATTCGTTATAATTAGACAATCGAATTTTATATTAATTAGATAAAATGAAACTTTTGTCATCATTTTTCTTATAGATGTCTGTATCGTTTAAAAATTTATGATAGTAGTTCGCAGGATTCATAGTTTTGAGTTTAGTGGTCAGAAAGGTTGACGATTGCTGTTCTATACTACAGAAAAGTGACCACGAACAATTCTGATTTGATGAACATAGTTTTGCTTTTACAGTAACACATTTTCGGGTGTCACCGACTGCCCTTTCTCTCTTATCTCATAAAATACAGCTTGGTTTTGGGGTTGCAAGATTGGGCTACAAGTAGCAGATTGAGATATTTGTAGGGGTCTACGTTACTATTGATAGATTTGAGTGACTTACCGCAGATAACACAGCAACGTGTTATCCACGCAGATTTCTAGTAGTTGCGCACATGGAACACTCTTATCAATACCCATGAATTCCACTAATTAGATATACTGGATTACACTGAGTAATTTGCTGTCGTAAAAAAGCTATTTTATTGTATTACAAAGCACGCAAAATTCAATGCATTTTTATACATATAAACACACACACACACACACACATATATATATAAGTTATATATATACATTTTTAATAAATCCATTTATTTAGTCTATGTAAAAAGTGAATATATTTCTTTGATATTTGAATGAACTATATATATGTCTCGATTTGATACATTGAAATATATTTTCTTTTTCTTGCTTGCCGTTATTTAAATTAATGGATCCTTTTCTGACCCTACAATAAATAAACACCCAGTATCATCTATTAGCATAACATTCTTAAAACGTTATTTTAAATTTTACATAAGCAGTCGTTTAAATCAACAAAAAAGTGTAGATTTAGTTTTATCTGTAGATTTTCTGCATCTTTTTTATTGTTTGCCCTTTTCAATCAATTTTTAATCATATCTATGTTTACTCTGTCAAAGCAGCTGTATTTAATAATAATAATAAAAAAACTCAATACGTTTGTACCTTACTCAATTCTTTTACGGAAATTTACTTAAGAATTACTTCATCTTTGATCACTAAAGATATGCATGGAAAGCAAGCTTTTCGTATCTTTGGCCAAAGAAACTGCATGATTCAGCTAACTTGTTGTCATTATTTTGCTAAGAATTTTTGTTGTGGCTACATGGGCGTAGCCAGAGTTTTGTTATGGGGGGCCTAGTGGAGGCCAACCTGACACAAAATTGAATTATTTCAAATTATTGTTCATTATTGGGCACCGAGCAAGCCGTTCACCTTTTTTTAGTATTCAAAACTTTTATTTTAGCTTTAGGTTTTTACAAATCGACTCAACACTTTTTCGGCTGTGATTTCCTGGGGAGGGCACCAGGTTCCCTGGGAGGGGCCGTGCCCACCCAGGCTCCCCCCTCGCTACGCCAATGTGTGGCTATATGAGTCTTTCCCTCCTAGTGAAGAAAGACAATGTCTTTAGCAATATACAAAATAATAACATTAAAGTATAAACTTCCCTACTATCAAATGTAAATAAAGAAATCGAATTTTAAAATTATCAAACAAATTTAACAAAATTGTTATTTATAATGATATACAAGAAACTGTTTTAACTCGCTTTCAGTATAATTCATTGTAAATTCGGACAGGATTCAACCTGCAGTAAAAATACAATAAATATGAAATTGCAAAAAAATATATTGAATACAAATATACGAAAATTATTATATTAACATACGAACACAAGTTTAATAAAATCAGAAGACTAAACAGATAATAAAAGCAAATTTTTATATTTAATTAAAAATTTAACTTACGTAAATATGAAATAGTAATTACTATTTCATAGTTCAATAGAATTATATAATTGCTTTTTTACACTAAAGTTTTAGTACTTAATAACAATAAGAAATATTAATAATCATCTAAAAATTCGCTATGACAGATTTTATATTTTTCAAAGAAGACATTGCTAATTTCATACGACAAGGAAAAAATAAACAGAATTTTATTTTTATCGTCTTTTCAAAATCGATTCTGTAAATCAGAATGTTCAGGTTTCAGATTCAATTGTGCAAATTTCTTTTCTTTATTTAATTAACAAATTCTAGATTTAAAAAATCTAGAGAAATCTATAATATTTTTCTATGGTTAATTATGTATTTTATATTATTTTCTGTTACAATATTTTAAAAAATTATCTTCGTTTAAGATCTATTCTATTCTTATTTAGTACGGACTGATTTATTAACATTAACAATTCTGTTATTTAATTGATAATGTATCAAGCCTCCAGCTATAATGTGTACTTCATTATATCTACGTTAAAATAATGATTTACTTTTAAAACGATAAATCATAATAAATTTAGTAAACTGCTGTATATAATTTTATAGTTAAAGTTTAACATTTATTAAATAACAATCAATTTTGAATTATTTTCATTGATAGTAAATTCATTTTCTACGTATAAATGTTCTTTTATATTTTTAGTATTCATAATAATTTATACATTTTTATGAAGAATGTAAATTATAAATAATTAGTTAATGAGTCTATATGGAAACTATCATACAATAAATTAATATGAAAAATCTTTTTCAGCCAATTGTTTGCGAGATTTTCTATATTCTTTTGGAATATTCGAGAACTGCTGTCTTCGTGTGGATGTTCCTCGAAGGTGTTCATCTCCACAGCAACGTATCTGTTGTATTTCCAAGTAAAGTTCGTTTGATTTACTTCCATTTAGTAGGATGGGGTAAGCAATCGATACTCAAAGCTTACTTGTAAATTACCTTTAAAGTGTGAGAAATGTTTCGATTTACATTACGAGAATTTAAGGATTAAATTTCTTATTAAAATATTTATCTAATTTTTGATGCAAAGGAGAGACGGGGCAATGTTTTTGTACTGGTAAATTGTCACCCAACGTATTTTTATTTTATACCATATTGTGAAAATTAGAGGTAGAAACGAGTACTGTACAGTACACAACAGATATAGGCCTATATATATATATATATTTTATAACCAGTCAAAATCCAACAATGAAAAACTTTCTTACTCATTATCGTTGGCCCGTGTGTAGGTTATACAAATCGACGATGATTTTTGGTGAATCAGCGAGTGACGTCAGTTATAATGGTATTGGGTAATAGAGAAGGGTGGCTTAATTCTCAGCGCTTTCGTACTGAGTCGTTTATTGTCGTAAATTTGTATGATTATCGTATACTTTACGAATTTTTTATTTTACAGTAATTTGTATTCATTCATTCATTTTCCAATCCTCTTATTCCACTTAAGGGTCGTTGTAGCAGATGCTTAATCCGGCACTTCAAGACAGGAGGCTAACATTCACACACACTCAAAATGGGACAATTTAGACATCAGTTATCCTAACGTACACAGTTTTTGGATGTGATGTGTGAGGAAACTGGAGTACTTGGAGAAAAGTCACGCAGACACGAGGAGAATGTACAAATTTCACACAAAGTGGTTCCTGCCGGGAATCGATTTTTTCCCTCATCGCCGTTATAACGAAACAACATTATATATATATATAATTCCTAAGTCGCGTGATTTTCCGACCATACTTCGCTCACCTGGCGTCTCACAGACTTCATTTTTTATCCTAAAATTGTAACATTTTTTGCTTTGCTTCAAAAATTATTATTACATCTTTGCTTTCTTTATTTTCTCTACTTTTAAACAGTGTAAAATATTTTTATATTGACACAAATGCTTTATTTGCGTCGAATTTAATACGAAAAATACAAAAAATAAACATATCAAATTTCAACTCGCTGTAATTTATCTCATGTTTCACCGATTGCCATCGGGTTTGTTTGTAAATGGGAAAGAAATATGACTCATTCAAGTTAAGTCAGTAGAAATTTCGTACTTATGCAAGAAAATTTGTCAATAGACCCTGCGTTATCCCCTACCGCGAAAGTCAATAAACGTTAATTGTTTTATAACTCTATTATCAAATACATCTTTATAAGTTATAAATCGACCAATTGACAAAGATTTTATTTCGTTTTCTTCCTAAAAATGTTGTTTTTAAGATTTAACAAATAGTTTTGTTAGATCTTTACATGTTAATTTTATTTTTAATTTTTAATGTGATCTAGTTGTGTGTTATGCTAAACTCGATCACTTAATGTAAAAATTGACATCGCTCAAAGTATTATAGAAACCATCAAAATTCATTGCTGATAGTTTAGATATAAGTGTTTTCTGTGCATGAAATGAAGCAATCAAAAAAATACAGGGTGGACCATCAAAAATTCGGCAATTTACGACATGATGTCGAATGCGTAAATTCGTTTATTTATAACTAAAAATATTCTCGAAATTTCATCCAAAAAAATGCATTTGCGAAATTCCTAAATGAAATTGTTACGCAAGAAACAAAAATTGTACAATTAGTTCAATTTGTATTAGCGAAATTAATTTTTATATTTTTTGCCGCTGTTATTTCTCGCGTGCAACAACGCGACTTCTCTCAGAGTATAATGAGATTTCGCTGAGTGTAATAATAAATTGCGATATCTCGCTTCAAAATCGGGCTAGAATCGATCTTTTTCTTGAAAAAAAATTATTGGAAGAAAAGAATTGATAGCGAAAAAGATGCTCGCGATTGTTGCGATCGACGATAGCGATTATCGCGAGCATGTTTTTTCTGCCGAATTTTTCCTACCCGAAAGCTCGCTTGGAGTCTGTGAGACACCGGCACTTTTTCGACTTAGGAAGGTATATATAATAAATATAAATTAATACCATTTGTAGAGTACTCTGATATTTATATATGATATTTATGAGTATATATTTTGTCGAAAACAACGTTAATATATTTATATTTATTTATTTTATATTTATATATGAGGTTGGGAAGTCGAGCTGCTCCCCCTTTTCGTTATTGCACAGGGCCTTGTTTCAAAGTACTGTATAAGATATACAGTAACAGGTTGTTTCTTTAGTCAGATTCTCATTGTTGTCGTCTGTTAATTTCGAGGAAAGACGGACGGACGAATGACAATAATGGAAATCGAGACCAGATATGGAAAGCTAAGCACGATTAACTATAGAGGAACTTCCGGTCTGAACCGGAAGTCACTTGATTTTTTAAATTAAAATATGAATAAATATTGCTGCCCGGCATTGTGACGATGTCACAATAAGTAATTGCTTGTACATTTTACAATCGTTTAATATTAGTTTCCCATTTTTACCGCTGCCACTTTTTGATGACTTCCTCCTTTTTTTGCACTTAAATTGGGTATTCCATGTATTTTTCTATTTCTGTTTATAAATCTGAAATTTAACTTTTAATTAATAATTTTTTTATATTTAAATAATTTTCTCTGATGTAAAATAATAAGGGCAATTCCATTGTTCACAAAGATGAGGAATGGACTGTGGTGATGACACGACAGTTTACCGGTTTAAAAATGCCAAAAGATACTAAAGTCAAAACTGGAGGAGTTAGTAAATAATTTTAAAGATTAAGGAATTACGACTGACGATAGTATTTTGAGATGCAAACTGTGTGATGTTACCATAAATTTTGATGAAAAGCTTTGGATGAAATATGCAAAACATAATTTCAACAGGAAAGAGAAAAGAAGAAGAGAGAGTTTTATTTTGGCATGATAAAATTCTGCAAAAGACGATGCAACGAAGAATAATGAATTTTCATGTGAACTGACTAGTTTTAATACGGTCAGGAATATTCATAATAAAATAAATCATTCCTCATTTAGAACTTCCTAGAAAAGCGTAGCGAGCACTCAATCCCTGACCAAAGCCCGCTAAGGAAAAGCTATGCGCTTTCTGCATATGAAGCAACTTTCAAAAAATACAGAAGTAGAAACAATCCAGTTTTTTTTTTTTTATTTTGGATGAAAAAATTGCTATACAGATTTTTCAATGATGAGTTTCCGTATTTTAGAACTCTGCTTTTCCGTATGAAAATGTTTGGTTAATTGAATCAGACCAGGCACTATACATGTTAAGTATATGTTCGAATATAAAGTTGATGTATCCGAATCTGAGACACGTCACTTGTCTTGCCCATTGCCTTAACAAGATATATGAAACAATTCGGACAGAATTTTCTTGGGTCAACGATTTCATTTTGGAAATTTTGAAAAAGGCTTTGATTAAATGTCCTGTGAATGTACTTGTGCTGTACTGTACATCTATATAAAGAGATAACTATCTTGCCACTTCCAAAACATCCTAACCAGGTGGAGCATTTGGATTCAAGTGGCTTGTTTTTATTGCGAAAATTTCTCGTCCGTGGGAGCATTTAACGATAAACTTGATGAAAAGTCTTCAGCGGCCGCAAAAACATTCGAGAGTCTGTTGAAACAAGAAGCCGTGTTAAAGGAATACACTGTTCATTCATACAAGTTCCTATGCAATTCAATTTCTAAGCTCGAGAAATTCGAGCTTTCTACTGAGAAACAGTGCGAGATTTTTATAACACGCCAAACACCAGTTGGCTGGATTTGCATTAGAGAAACTGTAATGCGTCTGGAGTAAAAATCCGAATATTCAAAATAGAATTCCCGATTCTCTTCAGTCACAAAACCTGGAGTTTTGGTGAAAACCAAATCTGTAAACAAAAATATCTGAGATGTAAAAAATTGCACAAAATAAAAACTTATGATAATTTATACAACAGTCAAAATTTTCCTTAGGAGTTTTACTTTGGTAAAGATGAGCTTGGCGCTTGGAAGTGGTATCCACAAGAGTTTTACTTGTATTATTTTTTTCTACATTTCGCTTCAAATCGCCAAGCTTATTTTTCCCAAAGAAAAACTCCTAAGGAAAATTTTGACTGTTGTATAAACTATCATAAGTTTTCACATCTCAGATGCTTTTGTTTGGATATCAATTGGTTTTTTTTAATAATTGTATTGTTATATCAAGGCACATTTTTATTTTATTTTATTTTAACGAAAGACAACGGGCTTACACAAAGTGTTTAGCCGGCGGAAGAAGAGGAAAGAGGGGAAGGGAAGGACGATGGTGAGGAGATAGAAAGAAGAGAAAGGAAGAATTCCTCTGAGCGGTGTTCGTAAAGTTACAACTCCCTCTGTGATTAATGTTGGCATGCAGCTTTTAGGCTGCAAAGCCGTGGGTCTAAAAGAAAATCCGAATTGTAGCATACATCAATAAGTAGTGCAGATATATAGGCTAATACTGTAGCTAAACAAAGTAAAGTTTAAAACTAAAGTAAAGGCATTAAACTAATACTAAAATAATACAGAAACTAAGCTAGCAAGCCCTGTAAGAAGCAGAATAACCTAACTGAAACAACTAGGAGAAACGGTACTAGTAACTTAAAATTAACTTATAGCTATCTTAAATCTAACTTAGTACTAACTTAAAACTAGTTATAGTAACTTAAAGTTAACTTATTACTAAACAAGAATACACACTGACAAGGACAAACAACCAGACAGACTAGCATGCAAGACGCCAATTATTTTTATTTTTTATTTTTTTTTCATTATTTATATACCTTATTCGCATTGCATAGTTTTATTTAAGCTTATTTATACAGCTAGTTCTTTTCTGTTGTGTATCTTTCATTGTTCTTCGTGTTGTCTTTAGTCTTCTTATATATAAGGAAAAACATCAAGACATAAGACAAATATGCAGTAGGGCATAAGTTTGAGCTTTTGTAATTCTGAGTAACATTTTTTGAATAAAATTCATTTCTTTCCATGCAAATTCATCCTTATA